TGACCAGCGTGAAAAAAACCTGGTTGTGAACCTCCTTGGGATTGCTGTGGGGATTCTCCTTGGGAATGCTGTGGGGATTCTCCTTGGGAATGCTGTGGGGATTCTCCTTGGGAATGCTTTGGGGTTTCCCCTGGCCCTGAGCAGCCTCTCTAACCGTGTCCTGTGCTCCTGCAGCTGCGGGAGTTCAACATCTGCGGGCGCTGCCAGGTTGCGCGGTACTGCGGCTCGCAGTGCCAGCAGAAGGACTGGCCTGCCCACAAGAAACACTGTCGGGAGAAGAAAAGGACCTTCCAGCAGGAGCTCGGCCCGGAGCGGTGACCGGGTGGCAGAGGCCTCTCAGCAGCAGGATTCCTCCCCAGAGGCATCGGGCTCTTGCTTTTGCACAGTGTGACAGACTGCTTATCCAAGCCAGAGGCACTGAAGACAAACCCTGTGATGCTTGAGCAGAATGGCTGACTGGACTAAGCCAGCTCTGACTGGTGCTGTGGAAAGGGATTGGCTCTGCCCTTCCAGTATTATATTCTCAAGCAAAAAGACTACTGTGGAGGCTCCAGGCAGGAAGCTTCTCGTTATTTATATGTTAATACGTTTGTAAACTCATGTACAGTTTTTTGTTAGGAATTCTTGATAGCACTCATTAACTGTAATGTTCGGAGGAGAACATGTTGTTGGCCTAAAAGTTTAAAAAAAGAAAAAAAAAAAAAAAAAAGGCAAAAAAGTCATGTAGCAAAAGCTTTTTCCTCCCATGTGGCAGAAGTGTCTGTGGCAGTGCCAAGGCCGGCGGGCAGACCCGGCATCAGGACTTACTCTGGAGAACTCTGCATGGAAGTTCTATTGGAAAAAAACAAACAAACAAACAAAAAAAGAGCAAAGTAAAGGTTGGAATGAATCCTTGTCTGCTCTCTGGCTTTCTCCCGTTCCCTTCCAGCTGCTTGCAGAGCACAGGCACCCCTGGCCACTGGAGTTCCCTGCTGGGTGGGAAGCGGTGCCCCAGGAGCTGGCGTGGGGTGTAGGGACCAGGTGGGATGTGTGTTCAGGCAGCTGCAGTCTCCGAGGGGCTGCTGGAGATGAGCCTTGGAGCAGCCAGGATTTGGAAAGCTGCACCAGCTTTCTGTCCCAAAACCCTTGCACATGGAGGAGCTGTGGGGAAGCTCAGGCAGCAGCTGTGTGTGGATGTGGTGCCCTCGTGGCTTCCCTGGCAGCACAGCAAATACTCCAGTCATGTGCAGAGATGTTTCAATGAACTACAATTTAATGATCTGAGTTAGTTATTATTTTTTTTAAGAGTTGTCATCAATCCAAGAATCACTTTTTGAATTTTTTTTTTTTGTTTTTCATGTGTTAATGAGTACAAACAGTCTGGGAGGAGGATTTCCCTTGCAGAGCACATGCCCCTTTTTCTTTTCATGACTTACCTGAAAGTTTTTTCTTTTTAATTTTTGCCTTAGAAATATAAGGACCATCAACTGAATTTTCTGAAGAACTAAATGGGTAATTTAGAGCCAGCTGTTAGTCTTGCTTCACAGTAGAAGAATGTGAGTTGCTGAGTGCTTAATGCAGAGCCTTTCTTGGAGTGCTTGGTGAAAGTTTTTTTGTAAAAACTGTTTAGAATTTCCATTTTTCAGCCAGGATTCACTTTGCCACTTCATGTTGCGGTGTTGGTCTTGCTTGTATTCAGTTTGTTAGAAAATTGAACTGCTGTGGACTTCCAATATTACATTCTGTTTCTAATATCTGCACAGGAAGTTCTGAATTATTAACATTTGGGTGGGTTTTCATCCTTTGGCTTTAAGCTTCTTAGGAAATAACAAAGAACTTCTGACACTTCCTGCTGGAAGTTCACTTTCAGGCACTTGGTCAAGTTGCCACTCTTAAATCATGCTTGTACTGTAATTTTTCTGCTCAGGAAGCCTAAAATGCCCTTCAGTATGAAGAAGTCAAGCAGGACCTACTAAAATTTTCCTGTAATAGGTGATTTTTTTTTTTTTTAGTTTTTTTTTAAGGAAGCATTCAATTATTTGCTTTAAATGAACTGTTTTGATGAATATACAATGGGACACAAGGAATTTTTTTTATATGAGGCATTCCATTGAAAAGGGCAGAAGTATTGCCTTTTTTTTTTTCCTTCCCTGTTTAAAAGGCTGCTATATGTCCTGCCAATTTTCCATTTTATTACCAGGCAGCACGTTCAGCAAAATGAAGTGCAGTCTTCAGACACTGAGCAGGGAAAAGTAAGTTAGTGCTGATGTTTGTAATGTTGCTGCAGTGAGGACAGGGACAGGGGACAGAGCTAGGCTTGATGGGCAGTGGGGAAAGGAGGGAATGAAGGAAGGGATGGGACTGGACTCAAAGAGTTGGACTCCAAGAATCTTCAGGATGGTGGGCCTTGGGGAATCCTGATCCCAGAAATGTGGGAGGAAAGGGGTTGGGAGGGTGGGGTGAGGCAGATGGGGAGGGAAGATGGCCCTGGGGGGTTAGAGGGCTGTGAACAACCCAAAGGAAAGAAACAAATGGCCCAAACACGGTGCAAAGTGAAATAATGCAAGTTCTGACCTCAGTCAGTGATGTTTGACTCCACACTGTCCTTGTGCCAGAGCAGGGAAGTGGCCACAGGGATTTTGACTCTTGGAAAGGACCTGGGGACTGCAATAAGGACAGCAGGTCCCTGATGGGAGTGGGAAGGTGTGTGACCAGTGATTGTGGCAGAGACATTCCCTTTCTGTAAGGAGGCTCAGAAAGGGACTTCAGGGTACCAGCTCCACTTCCTAACTCTAAAAAAGTTAGGAACTAACTTTTTTCAGAGGATGGAGGCTTTTTCAAGAACCTTTTCCTCAGAGAATCCAGGCTGTTGCTGTATTTAAAAAGCCCAGGTTGGAGTAAGTGGTTGTTTATCTGGGAGGAGGCCTGGGCACTGCTGATACAAGAGATGACTTTCCCTGGACTTGCCTATGAGGGAGATTCTTCATCCAAGATGTTTCCTGCAGGGAAATCTGGTAAATCCAGCTCAGGTTGGGAGGGTGCAGCATTCCTGGTTCTGTGACAGAAGGGTGCACACCCCTGGTATACACACCATGAAATGTCGGTGCAGGTACCCCCAGGGGCTCCTTCCTCTCCAAATAGGGTGGTATTGCCAATCCCAAACATTCAAATGTCACAATGGAAAATTAAGGGACACAAAATGTGAAATATAATGTATTGCAGGGCTCAATGTTTGCCTTTTGTATTTGAACCTCAAATACACCCATGGGGTTATCCTCTCGGGTTTTCCTCTGTGATTTAATTTAAGTGAAATTGGTGAAGTTAAAAGGAACAGCTGAGAGATTTAAATACTTATGGGGGGCATGGAGATGGGCACAGAGGGGCCAGGAGCAAAACTACCACCCTGCAAAACAGCACTGAGGGGACAAAAAGAGGTCGGTGTGATTAAACAGCAACTTCTTACTCAGAGTAATAAGAAATCCTTTATAAATTGAGCACGTGTTCAAATGAAAAAGATGGAAATAAGACTTGGCAGGTAAAATGTGGAAAAAGATAAAAAAATCCAATAAAATAATGCAAAGAAAAATGGAATACAGAGGGCATTCAAGTCATAAAACTTGCATGTATAGTTTTGCAAACATCAGGGGCACAGTAAAGGCCGGGGCTGACCTGGGGATTAAAAGTGTCAGGGGGAAGGAAATCCAGTGAATCGTTTGTATATGTGTCCCCCCTGTGAGAGAGCTGGGGGGAAGTTCACACAGCAATGCTTCCATATGGAAAACTGCACGGAGAATCTGTTCAGAACAGAAGTGCTTTGGGGAGAGATTAAAGTTCAGCTGAAATGAGCAGTGAACAAGTTGCCAGGACCAGCCGGTGCCACCTACGGCTCCGGAGGAGCCGTAGGTGGCACCGGCTGGTCCTGGCAACTTGGGGTGAATCAGCAGCACCAATGGCTAAATATTGGGGTGGGTTTTGTGCAGGGAGGTCGTGCTTCAAAACTCCGCCGGAATTGTTTCAGGGGTGTGAACGTGCAGGGGAAAGGGGATTCGGTTGTTACCAGTCTGCTTGAACTTCCAAAATGCGCTTAGTCCTGGTTTTGCTCGAGGCACTTGAGGGAAAAAGGGGGAATGACATATGGGCAAACAACTGTTTAAAAGATGGGGAAGGAGTAGTCGGAGGAAGGGTTTCTTTAGTGGAGGGAAGTAAACAGTTGGATGCCCAATATATTAAAAAATAATTGGGAAAAGTAATGAGTGAGGAAGGTGACAACATCCACTGAGGAAGCTATTCAGTGTAATAATATAATAAAGGCTGAGTGAAGAATTGCAGAAGGATGTTATGAGACAGACCCGGCAGACGAAATTCGGCACCAATAAATGTAGTGCTGGTTATGGGGAAACACCAAAAGGCAAGGCCTTGTCTGTTTTCGCTCTGGGTTGTGAAACACAGCCCTGCAGGAATTTCTGCCTGGGGAACAGCAGCAATCCAGGCTCCAGGGCAGGACGGGGGAGCAGAGCCCAGCTCGGGGGTGTGAATTGCTCGGTGAATCGCTGCAGCCCGACCTCTCCTCCGTCTGGGAGAGGACTGAGGGGAAAGGAGAAAGGGAAAAGGCTCGGGGCAGGGGGTGGGATCCCTCCGTGCTCCGGAACAGCTGCTGCCAGGGCACAGCGATGTATCTGCTCTGAAGAGCTGTGAGGGGGCTGGGGAAGGCCTCTGCGATGCGCAGGGAGGATGCCGAGGTTGGTGCTGGTTCTCTCTCGTGAGCAGCTGCCGGGTTGAGAACAGCGACCCCGCACCGGCGGGGGCTTGAGCCACATCCCCTTCCTTGGGGGAGGGAGCTGGGACAAAACCAGGAGGGATCCCGGGCTGTGCCCACGGACCCGGCCGGGCTGGGCGCTGTCCCCGCGGGGAAGGGGCGCTCTGAGGGGAAGGGGCGGCTCTGAGGGGCAGCCCCGCCCTGGGCCCGCCCTGACCGGGAAGCAGACGGGCGGTGCCGCCCCGGAGGTGCCGCCCCCGCCGGGCCCGCCATGGCCGCGCCGTGCCGGACGCGCACGCTGCAGGTGGTGGACACGGAGTTCAGCGCGGACGCGGTGGAGTGGTGCCCGGTGGAGGGCTGGCACAGCATCCTGGCCTGCGGCACCTACCACCTGCGCCCGCCCGCAGAGGTGAGCCCGGCACCGCCCCGGGATGAGCCCCATCCCCGGCCCTGTCCTCCCAGTATCGCCCCGGGGCGAGCCCCCATCCCCGCCCGGCCCTGCTCCGGGGCGAGCCCCCATCCCCGCCCGGCCCTGCTCCGGGGCGAGCCCCCATCCCCGCCCGGCCCTGCTCCGGGGAGAGCCCCCATCCCCGCCCGGCCCTGCTCCGGGGAGAGCCCCCATCCCCGCCCGGCCCTGCTCTGGGGTGAGCTCCTGTCCCCGACCGGCCCCGGTCCCGGCCTGGCCCTAACCCTGGTCCCGATCCCGGTGCTGCCGGTCCCCGCGCCCGCTCAGTGCCTTGTCCGGCTGGTTCGAGGTGGGGCTGAGCGGGCCCCTCCGGCCCCGAGAGGGCTGTGTGGCTTTTATCCCTCAAGGGATAAAGTGAGAGCCTCAGCCCGGCTCCCGCTCGCCGCTCCTCGCGGGTGGGGAGGCAGGAACGGCTAATCCCGCCCTGTTCTTCCCGATGTTTGGCATAGAGCGATTCCCGAGGCAGCTCTAATGGGGCCTGTGACCGTACCGGGCGTCTCTACCTGTACCACTACAACGAGGAGCAGCCCTACATCCCACTGACCGAAATCCAGCGCATCGACACGGCCGCTGTCCTGGACATCAAATGGTAATGCTGGGTGGGCCAGGGCTGGTGCCTTCCTGGACATCCTGGCCCAGCCAGTGCTGGTGCACAGCAGGGGCTCCAAGGGAATCTCTCTCGGGTCTTAGCGTGGCAGCAGCAGTAATATTTTAGCACCCAAATGGTTCCTGACTTCCTGGAGGGAAATACTGTCTCAGTTGTTCCAGTGAGCAGAGACTGGCTCATTTCTGTGTTGCACTTTCTGCTCGTTTGTTGAGCAGCTGGCCAGTGACTTTGTACCTCATTTATTTATATAATGACATATAGTACCTCTCCCTTACATCTAATCCCCTCCACACAGGTTTGTGGTAACATGAGGAGACTTAGATTTTCTTAACATGAGATCTTTCTGGTCACGTACCTTCTCCTTGTGCATCTTGGAATAAAAGTTATGACTCTGCTCTCCTCCTAAAATACAAGAACTATGGACATTCATCGCTTTAATTTGGTCTTTTAGGTGCCATGTTCCTGTTGCAGAACATCCCATGGTCGGCATTGCAAACTCCACGGGCGCCGTGGAGTTTTGCCACCTGACTGGAAGTGAGGTGGGTGGCTGCAACGCTTGCAGGAAAGCTGGATGGTTTCCATGGCTTTCTCAGCCTTCTTAGCTTTTCAAACACTTGTTTTGCCTTCTGATGTTTGTCATAAATTCTACAAACTTGCTCGTGGCACCAGGGAGCCGGGCTGGGCTCTACCCACCTGCACAGTGGGAGATGAGAGGCAGGAGGGGAGCAGAAGCAAACCCTGGAAATGTCACTTGAGAACAAGGATGGATTAACTGGTAAAGAGCAGAAGGTGCAAAGCTGTTAGAAGCCAGGAGGAATGTTGGAGTGGGGTTTCTTTAGTGGTGAGTAGGGAGTGATCAGAAGCATTCCCACAGAGCATAGAAAGCGGAAGCCAGTCTGTAAGGGAATTACAGTCAGGTTGTCATTTTTCCTGCACTTCACTCCCTGAGAGTGAAGCAGAGTTTAGGGGTGGTTTGGGGGAAGATGGGCAGCAGAAGGGTGGGATCCTGTGTGTGCATTTCTGCCCCTCAGCTGGTAGTGGGTGATTGTCCGGTGCTGTGGGACCCTCATGCTCACCAGTCTCTGGAAAACAGAGTGGGAAAGCAGTGGGAATTAGCAGTACACCCGTTGTTACAGACCTGCTGTCTTCCCAGCCTGAACCCATTCCTTTTGTTTCCAGTAGAAGAACAGCTGCATGTTGGAGCCACGCTTCAGGGTGGATCTCGGCGCACAGCGACTGGCCCTGTCCTTGGACTGGTCCACGGGACGGGAGCAGTGGTGAGGAGGGGAGGGGAGGCTGGGTCAGTGTGTGTGGGACAACTTTCAGGAGAAGCTGAGGACTTGGATGAATGAGCCTTTAGTGGGTTTGACTTCCTCCATCCCAGTGTCCCTGGTCCTGCTCTAGAAGTTGCTCTTTCCTGAGCAAGGGTAACAAAGGAACACAAACACGTCCTGTGGCCACTGTAACAAGAGCAGAGGCTAAAACAACAACAAATGTGAGGTTGTGCTCTGGGGAACGGCAGCAGGTGAGCCAGGGACGTGTCTTGTGTTGCCTTTGCTAAAAGGAAAGACTGGAATGGGATGCAGATGGATCCATGGGTTTCAACTCTGCTTTTGGAACAGCTGAAATTTCAGTGTGAAGTTCTGCTTAAGAACTGCTACTAATAGCACATGTAGGAAGTTTAAACATCTGTGAGAAACAGGAGAGAACTGTTTTGGAAGTGGCTCCTTCTTCTCAAACACTCACACATGAGATTTCAGCAATGGCATCACTGCATGAAACACCCTGACTTAGCTGTACCTTGAAAGAGGGGAGGTAAATGTGTTGTGTAAGTGAAAACAGGGAGTGGTGCTTTTGGTGCAAGGCTGGAAACTGAGGGGGTCAGGCAGTCATTGCTAAATGCTCTAGGGTAAATACTTAGTAGGTTTTGCTAATTAAAGCTGTTTCTGTGCATGTTGTTTAATGAATAAGTAGAATTCCCAGCTAGACTTTGTCCTTCCTTAACATTCCTTTTTGTCTCGGTCTTTCCTGATAAATGATTATTGCAGTGATGTCAAGTGCCTTTAAAGCCTGTCACTGTTGTCACTGGAGAGACCAATACCTTCTCCGAGAAACCAATAATTTCTCTGTAGAAAGGGGGTGACCCTTTATCTCTCAAGTGGAAATTTGGGAGATTCAGTGTGTAACTAACATTCCATGTAGAACTGGAAAGAAGCCCTGAGCCACCAGGGCAGCACTTGCAGTTGCAGGCAACCAAACAAAAGGGACTTAGTTCATGTCAGGAAACGTCAGAAAATCTGTGCACTGGGAATTGCAGAACTTTTGCCAGTGCTCCAAGGTCACTGTGTCCAGAAACTGCAACTGTACTGTGGCACAGGAAGAGAGCAGGAAAGGTCAGGATCAGCCAGTGCTTTGATAGCAGGAGAGTAAAACATTTCTTTGTACTCCACAAGAGGGGAGAGACCCTGAAAGGTCCTTGCCAGTCTGATTTGGAGGGGGAAAAAAAATCACTCTTCACGTGGAATTTGTTTCTTGATGTCATGTCAAGCACGTGAGAAGTCCAGTTATGCATCTCAGAGAAGGACAGAGCCAAGGGTGGTTCCTTCCCTCCCATGGGTGTGAGTGGTGGCTCCCCGTGAGATCAGGGAGTGGTGGTCACTGGGGCAGGTGATTTTTAGGGTGGGATGGGCTGAAGCTGAAAAGAATGGTATGTATGTGTCATTCCTGCCACTGTGCTGCCAGCTCCTGTCAGTGTGCAGCTGAATCAAACACGATTCAGTAATTCCTGATGTTTTCCCTGTATCCCCTGTAGTGGATGTCCTTTGAGAGTGATCAGCAGTGATTCAGAGGGGAAGCTGAACCTTTTCTCCATAGATGAATCTGCTCCTTCTGTGCATGTCCTGAGCCAGTGGGAAGCTCACAAATTTGAGGCCTGGATTGCTGCTTTCAATTACTGGGACACCGATATCGTGTACTCAGGTCTGTGTGGGCTGGGAATCTTCTTTGGGAGTGTTGGGCAGGGGCATCTTGTTTAGGGATGTGTGTTCCTTGGGATTTTACCTTCCAGGGTTGGGTGTGCTTTCATCACACCTGTTGAAAAAGTGGAGCCTCTGCTGGGGGTAAAAGGCTTCTTGATGGTGGGGAGTAGTTTTTGTTAAGTAGGAGAAGCTGTACCCTGTAAACTGTACTTAGGGTGGCTCTTGGCAAAAGAGATTATATTCTTTGCAGTGTGCAAAAGAGAGAGCTTTTTCAGTCCAGTCCTTTTGACTTCTATTTTTTTTTTTAATTAAAAAGTGAGGGTATTGTTAATGCAAGTGTTTTCTGTGGTGATGGGTATTGTGAACCTCAGTGTGATGTTTGGTGTGTCTGTTAAATTCTCAGAGACCCCAGGGCTGGAAAGCATCAGCTCTGTGTCACTGAGCTGGAAGGGACACACAAGGACCATCCAGTCCAACCCCTGGCCCTGCACGGACACCCCAACAATCCCACCCTGTCCCTCAGAGCGTTGTCCAAACCCTCCTGGAGCTCTGGCAGCCTTGGGGCTGTGCCCACTGCCCTGGGGAGCCTGTTCAGTGCCAACCACCCTCTGGGGGAAGAACCTTTCCCTGAGATCCACCCTGAGCCTGCCCTGACACAGCTCCAGCCCTTCCCTGGGGGCTGTCCCAGGGAGCACAGACTGGAGCTGCCCCTCATGAGGAAGCTGCAGACTGAATTCTTTGCCTCAGTGCTCTGTGCTGTCACTGGCTGGTGCAGGGGGTCACAGTGTTTTGTCCCTGGCAGGAGGGGATGACAGTCTGCTGAAGGGCTGGGACACCAGGTGCAGTCCAGAGGCTCCAGTGTTCACCAGCAGGAGGTGAGTGCCACTGTGCCCCTTCCCAAGCCAAATCCAGAGATGTGCAGTGCCAGCGAGTCCTGGTTCTCCCTGCCGTGGGAAATGCAGGCATCTGTTAGTTTTTTTTCCATCATGACAACTTCAGGTTGAAATTTACTTCTCCATGTCCTTCAATGTAAGGACTTCCACAGGTGAAGGTGATGGTAGCTTCTTTCTAAGAGAAGGATCCTGATTTACTCTTATTTTGGGATTTTTTTTTCTGTGTTAAATTTGGATATCTTGTTATGGGGTTTTTTTTTAGAAAATACTTTGTTCTACACTGTTCACTTACTTGAAGTGATCCCTTTTCTTTCTCTTTTCCCATCTTTTAAAATATGACTAAAGCAGTACACACAACTCACCAGTGAAATTCTATATGTAACCTTAAAATTGACCTGGGACTGCTGCCATGGAATCGTTAATGTTGGGTATAAAGTCTTCTGGGAATGCAGTTGTTCTGCTGAAATTCTTAGGGGCTCTGAACAGCAATTTATGGTGTAAATATTACTAGAAAATACTTGTGCTGAGTGACTGTGAGGGGAACTTTTGCCCTGGGAAGGCAGTTGGACTGTGTAGATGGAACTCTGCTGGGGTGGCTCACTGGACTGAAAGCTGAGTTCACCTTACTGTCCTTCCTGAGACACCTTGATGCAGTAATCCTTAAAACTCCAGGGAGAATCCCTTCTCAAGCTGTGCATTGCTGTCTGTCCCTGTCCTGCAGACATTCCATGGGTGTGTGCAGCATTCAGTGCAGTCCCCACCGCGAGAACCTCCTGGCCACGGGCAGGTAAGTCCCTTCCAGCTGCTCCTCCCTGGTGTGACCAACCTGCTCTGTTACTTGAACCCGCTGCTGCCCCTCCAGAAGTTCCCTGGGATCTGTCCTAACTTTCCTCTGTGCTTGCTGCCCCAACTCTGTGCTGCTGTTCGCGGTGTCTGCAGCTACGACGAGCACGTGCTGCTGTGGGACAGCAGGAACATGAAGCAGCCCCTGGCTGACACCCACGTGGAAGGAGGGGTGTGGAGGCTGAAGTGGCACCCCACGCGTGATTTCGTGCTGCTGGCAGCCTGCATGCAGAGTGGATTCAAGATCCTGGACTGCCGTGGGAGCCTGGGTGAGTGTGCAGGGAGCAGAGACGCTGTGGGGCTGCCCTGCTGCTCTCCTGTCCTGCCTCCAGGTTTATGGGGGAACTCCAGCTCTGACTTTCTAGAAGCATCTAGGTGATATCCATAGACTTTTGTTCCAGTCTGAGGTAACTCTTCCAGCTTTCCCAGCTCTGTCCTCGCTGTTGGCCTGCTGGTTTGTGCAAAGGTCCCGTCACTGTTCATGTGTCAATCCCTCATAACTCCTTTTCCCGGGTTGGTTTTGGTGAGATGAGCTCAGCTGGTCAGAGCATGGTGCCATTAACACCAGGGTTTGATCCCTGTAGGGGCCATTCACTTCAGAGCTGGACTTGATGATCCGTGTGGGTCTCTTCAACTCAGAATATTCCGTGGTTCTGTGATTACCTGGTGACACAACCATTTCAGTTTGGTGCTTTCCTGTCAGCAGGAGTCACTGCCCTGCTGGGGAACTCGGTTATTGCCTCAGGGGGAGGTGCTGAGCAGCCTGGTTAATCCAGAATAACGTGAATAGGCCCTTTGTGTGAATCAGGAGGTATTTCCCTGATGAAAAGGCTGTTTGCATTCACATTACCAATGCAGTCTTACAGCCGCCTTGGGTTTCTTCAGACCTTGGGCAGCTTAGGAAATGAGGATAACATTTCTCCTGTATAGGGAAGGCAGGAACCTGATGTCCAGTTACTGTCAGTTAAATGCTGAAGGCTCATGGGAAGAACATCTGCAATTAATTAATAACCAAGCCATGGCCTAGAGATCTCCCAGGTGTGTTGCTCGCTCAGTGGAGACTGTGGAGATCAGTCCTGTCTGTCTGGAGCCTTTGTGGGTATTTTGGATAATGAGGCTCTTAAAGCTCATGCATATTAACCCCTTTTCTGCTATTGGCCCAGGGACAATTAAAGCCTTTGAGAGGTGGCTGAAAAATGGTCAGTACCTCCTTCCTCCTGGAACGCTTCACCCCGTGGTGAAGAAGGCAACAATCAGAGAACTCTTCCCGTGGGACACAGCCAGTGCTGGGATGGCTGCTGAGCAGCCCCAACCCCCAGCTGGATTTCTGCTCATTTCATGGCTTTATTTTCTCTTTTAAAGCGGAGAACACGGAGGAGTGTGTCATCCTGTCATCCTACGTCCTGCACAACTCCCTGGCCTACGGGGCCGACTGGTCCAGGCTGTGTCCCAGGGATTCCCTGCCTGCAGCACAGTGCCAGCCTTTGGAGGAGCTCCCGGGAGCAGAGGAAGGAGACGAGAGGCTGAATTTGCAGGTCCAAAACCTGAAGATAATTTACGAGTCTCCTACAGCTACTTTTGATGTGATCCTGGATGAGGAGAGCGAGGGCCCTGCTGGAGCGGGGGCGGCTCCCAGGCTGGCTGGGGATCCTGGCCCGGCCAGGGGCTCTGCCTTGAAGGGCAGTTTAGACCTGGCTGGGGGCCCAGACCCCGGCTCAGCCAGGGGCTCTGAGCCCAGAGCCAGGAGCCCCAACAGGACAGGCCTGGACAGCACTGGGGGCTCAGCCAGGTCCCCAGACAGCCCCAAAGAGACGAGCATCGTGGCCACTTGTTCCTTCTACGACAACATCCTCCATGTCTGGAGGTGGGAGATGAGCCTGGGCACCACTCCTGATGTGCCAAGTCCCGGATCTCCATCCAGAAGAACAGCTGAAAGTCTGCATTGACCACTCCCAAGGCAGAGGGGGCAGGAAAACCCCTGAACTGAGAGTGACAGCTGAACTTAACGCCCTGCCTAACTCCTGTTGGGCCTTCCCAGTTTTATTGCTGAACTTGGCAGTCCTTCAAGGCCCACACTGATGGAATTCCTGGTGTTTTATTTTCAGCACAGGGGAAAGCCTTTGCTTAGAGGCCTGTGGTTAAGCACAGACAGCTTTATTTAGTTTTCCCCTTAATGTCCTGGTTCCAAGGGGGACAGCCCTCCTCTCACAGGCTTTGAACCTCAGGTTTGGGTCCTTTCAAGGCTGGTTTGCATTTCACATTGTTCTGTTCAGCCTGTTCTCCTCCTTCCATCACAAACCAGACTGTGCTGCTGTGAGTGCAACCCAGCATGTGATCAGAAGGTTCCCTGAATGTCTTGTAAAAGCCCCTGAGCAGAGGCTGATGTGCAAACCAGGCCCTTGAGAAGAGCTCAGGCAGGCCAGGCACAGTGCAGCATAGTTCAGAAGGAAGTGCAGATGGAAGTGTTGTGGTGAGCAGGGCCTTTCTCAGGAGGATCCTGCTGCACCTCCCTCATTTCCCATCACTCCTGCCCTGATGGCAGTTCCCCTCACCCCTCCCAGGTGAGCACAGCCTGGTTTAGATAAACCCTGTAGTGACCTGCTCTCGTTTAGTGCCACTCAGCCACCCCCCACAGCCTTTTGTATCCAGCTCATGTTTTCTGCTCTCCACATTTAGGGCCAAAGCCAAGATCTTTCAGTTTTTTAAAGGTGAACAGCTTTAAGATCAAAACCTCCACAAAGTTTAAGTGGCGTTTCCTCACATCTTTTTAAGTTCAAAATTCGTACAGAAACCAAAACCTGAACAGCATTGCCCAAACTACCTCCAGGAATGGCTGCAGGATTTCTCATGGTTGCTCCATCTGCTTGCTTTTCTCACTGTGAAGTATCAGCAAAACATCCTTTCTGGAGCATTTTATCTATCCCTAGAAACAAAAAACCAGCTTAAACGAGGTAAGGAACTCTTAGCTTGGGTGGTTTGTCTCTGAATGTCCTAAGGGATGAGTTGTCTGGGGGGAAAGAAACACCAGCAACAGGTCTCTGTGTAACAGTGCTGCATCCAAATGACACACAGATGGGAACCTGACTGCTCTGAGACCCTGCTCAGGGGGGAGTGTGTATTTTAGAAAACACTGAGCACTGTTACATGAAGATTCATATTAGTGCTGCAAACAAGAGCTTTTCTTATTAAAAAGAGAAAACCAAAACATGCTATTTTTGAATGTTTCTTAAAATAAAGCCAATATAAGTGATTTTATTTTTCTTGGTTGTTTTGAGGTTTAAACGTCAAAGGAACTTGGCTCAGGCTCCGAGGGCACTCGGTGAATGTTCTTTGGGAGTCAGAGTGGACAAACCAGTTTCCTGGGAACACCGAGGGTGTGTCCTTGTAGCTCTGTTTTAAAGCTTGTAACGCTTTTTATTGCCCTGTGAGAGGGATAGGGAACAGCCCGAGGGCAGCAAAGCTGGAGTGCTGTCACTGGGACCAGACTGAGACTGGTTTAGGCTTTAGGTCAGTCCCTGCTTTGCTCAGAGATATGAGGAGGCTCCAGTTACAATCTGCCTTCACGTGGAAAGAAAGTCTCTGAAAGGAAGGGCTGAGGTGTTGCACCCAGAGCTGAAGGCAGAAAACCACCACTCGTGTGTAACTCACTCTGATGAGCTTCACAGGAAGTGAGAAATGCAGAGTTTAATTGGAGTTAGGAAAGCTGTGCCTTCCCGCCCCCCACTGTGGGTGATCCTGCACTCACTCGTGTGGGGATTTGGGGCTGCAGGACTCACATCTGGGAGCCAGAGCAGCCCCAACCCCTCCTGGCCTCCCCAGCCCCGAAAACAGGGGGGTTTGAGACACCTCCTTCAGGACTCGGACTGGATGCTCAGAACACGCGCTGAACGTGCTTCCCTTCTCCCAGAGCGCGTTTTCATCCTTAATTTAACTCTAAACTTTGCAGTACTTTGTCTTTAGAAACCTCACAGGCCCCTCACCCCGAGACCTTCCAGGCAGGGCCGTGCTCTCCAGGCACAACTGTGCGGAATGAACGGTCAGTTCCCCCCGGGATTTAAATCACACACTGCAGAGGGACAAGGTGGAAGGACCCGCTTTAATGTCCGGCGCCAGAGCCTGTCCCGCGAGTGCCGGTCGTGCCTCGGCCCCGCTGCTCGATCCCTACCGCGCGTAGTTCTTGGGGAAAAGCTGGAAGAGCTTCCCCTCCTGCGTGGGCTCGAAGCCGTACTTCTCCAGATTGCCGGGCTCGAACGTGCCGTCCTTCACGTCCTTCTCGATGCGCGGAGCCACCAGCTGGTCGAAGAGCTGCTTGGCCGTGGCGGGCGGCTCGGAGCCCTCGGGGGCGCGGTACGACACGTAGGGCCGCAGCTTGAAGTCCGTCAGGTCGGGCACGACGAACTCCGGCACCATCTCCTTGACGAGGAGGAACTTCTTGCTGCTGGTGAGCACGCCCAGCTTCTTGGCGCCGCGGCCCTTGTTGAAGGTCCGCGGGCCGCGCTTGCTAGTGAAGGGAGACATGCGGTCGGCGCCGCGGACCAGCCCACGGGCCAGCTGGGACAGCAGCCCCATGGCGGGCACCGGGCCGGGTCGGCGAGGATCGAGGGCTCAGCGGAGACGGAGTCGGTCACTGAGAGCGAGGCCGCTCCCTCAGCGGAGCCAGAGCCTCTCCCTGAGGGCACCGCGGGCTCCCTGGGCCGGTCTCTCCTCAGCGGAGCCGGTCCCTGAGGGGTCCCTGAGGGGTCCCTGGGCCCGTCTCTCGTCTCTCCCCTCACGACCCAGAGCTGCCCTCCCGCCTCCCCACCCCGCAACACCGCCTGCTCCCATTGGCTGACACACACACCAGCCAATCCGCAGCGCCGATGCTCCCCGGCGCGGTCCCGCCCAATCATCGGAGAGCATCCAGCGAGAGGGGCGTGGCCTGGCGGTGCCGGGGCTTTTCCGCCAATGGGCGCAGGAGGTGGGCGGGTCCCGGCGCGGGGGCGCCCTCTGGTGGCGGCGGGCGGGGAGTGCGCCCCGCGCCCTTCGGCCCCGGCCCGGGAGCGGCCCCGGGAAAGGGATCGGGATGGGAACGGGAACGGAGGCGGGAGCGGGACCAGCTGCAGGTGAGAGCATGCCGGGGTACCGGGGCTCGGCAGGGAGCGGCGGCGGGCCCCGGGCCTTGCGGGTGGGACGGCCCCACGGTGCTCCGGCGGGAGCGGGGCGGGGGGGGTGCGTGTGTTGTTGTTGCTCTCCCGTGTCCCGAGTTGTGATCAGGCGAGACGGGACGCGGCACGGGAGGGTGAGCCGGGGCTGTTCCGGGGCTGCCCAGGAGGATAACCCGGCACTGACCCGGAGAATGACCCGGGGTGGTGACCCGGGTCCGGCCGGGGAGTGACTGGGACGGTGACCCGGGACTGGCCAGGGGTGACCAAGAGAGTGACCCGGGACTGGCCAGGGGGTGACCAAGAGAGTGACCCGGGACTGGCCAGGGGGTGACCAAGAGAGTGACCCGGGACTGGCCAGGGGGTGACCAAGAGAGTGACCCGGGACTGGCCAGGGGTGACCAAGAGAGTGACCCAGGTCCGGCCGGAGCTGACCAGGAGGGTAACCCAGGGCTGTCCGGGGGGTGACCCGGGTCCGGCCGGGGGGTTACCGGGAAGGTGACCCGCGGCTGACCAAGAGGATGACTCGGGGCTGGCCAGTGGGTCACCAGAACGGTGACCCGGGGCTGACCCGAGCTGACCAGGAGGGTTACCCTGGCTGACCCGGAGGGTGCTGCCCGGCCCCGCAGCCCGGTCCTGCTCCGGTCCCCTCTCCCGGTGTGGGTGTCCCCCGGGCAGTGCCATCCCGGTGTTCCCTTTTCCTTGGAGCACGGGTGCCCAGAGGCGTCTCTGGCTGTGCCACTGGGCTGCGAGCACCCGGGATTGTCCCGTGTGTGAATTCCCGTGGCTGTGGAGGAGTTTCTTTAGGAGACACAACCCTGTCCCACAGCACTTCGCCGCTGGGTTTTGCTGCTCGGCACAAAGGGATGATAAAGTTAAAAAGTTGTTTTTCCCCTTGTGTTCTTGTGTTGTTCAAGAATTTGGATCAGAGAGTGTGATCACCTCTTAACTCAATCTTCTCTTTTTGGTTTTACTTTTGCTCCTGCAGTGCCTCCAGACATGGTTGAAGATGGCAACACCACCAGCCTTCAGGTACTTTGCTTTGCTCTTGGTTTTGGGCATAATTATTTCCCTGGGAGTGTTTCCAGCAGCTCAAAGGTGCTGTACCCAATTTGATAACATTTGGGCAATGCCTTTAGGTGATTTAACTTTGAAGGAACCTTTCCTTCCAAGAGTTTTATCCTTCCAAGAGCTTTACCCTTTCAAACTTTTTAGGATTGGTCCCATTTTAGTGCGTGTGTGGTTTTTATTATTTTAATTTTTTTTTAAATTTCCTGCAAACCATTCACACTTCACCTTGTGTTCTAAACCATTTGCACAACGATATGGTTTAAATAACTTTTGGTTTGTATGGTTTTAGCCTAAAGAAGGGAGAATTGCAGGATTCTGGCAACCTGTTCTCCTTGCATTTATTCTTAACCATAAATTGGAAACTCGTGGTCCAGCAAGGCATGTATGTGGTGCTTTTCACAGTTGTGAGAAAGAAAATAGTTCTATTCTCTTTTATTTTAGTTCTCAGAACTAAAAAACACACACAGCCTTACTCCTGAGCACTTCAGAGTGTTTTGTGAAACTCCAGTCTCTGTAGTCAAAACAAGGCATGTGACCCTGGGTGCTTCAGAGCAGGGAGGAAATCTGATGTTTTGGGCAGTCCCAGTTTGAAGGCCTTGCTTTCAGTGCTGATAAGCTTTTCCCACCCCTCCCAGGACGGGGAATGTCTCAGTGTTTGCCTTGGACTGCAGGGAGGTGTTGTTGGACTCTCAGCAGAGCTGAGTGTTGGTGCCTGGACTCTGGATGGGTGTGAGGCTGCTTGTTTGGGCTGATCGCTGTTAAGTCTCTGCTTCTTAGGGAAACTCCAACACTGAGAAGCAGAGAAAAGCTCTTTATCCAAATCCGTCCTCTAAGCAGGTCTTTGCTCCATTTTCTGGTGGAATGAGGGATTTTTTTTGGGTTATCCCACTGGTGTTGTTTTGGGTCTGGGAGTTGTTTGGGGCTGTGTGAGGCACCTGTGAAGTCCTTGGATTTGGGTGGTGGCCACAGCCCTCCTCAGAGAGGAGCTGCCCGTGACCTCACACCTGCCCCAGGTGCTGTCATGGCCCAGGAATTGCTGACATTCCCAGGTGTCTCCACAGCTCAGCCTTGGCTGCTTTGCTTCCTCTGCTTTTCCAGCAGGATTGGCAGTGCTGGAAAAGATCCTCCCCCCGGGTCTGGGTGGGGGAATATCATGTTTTCACTGGTGAAAACCTTGCAGGAACCTCTCTCAGTGTTTCTTGGAGCTCTGAATTTCTTCTTTCCCTCATCGAGGCCCGAGGGTTCCCTCCGGGCACGGTGGGGTTTTGTTCTCTTGCTCTTGGGTTTGTTTCTCCTCCTCTTGGAGCAGCACTGAGAGTGTCAGTTGGCAACTACTATTTTGGATGTTATTTGAGATCCTACAGGCCTGGAGAGCAGCAGAGCTGTCCATGTCCCTCACGCTGTCAAGGGGAAATACATTCAGTGACCACTCTCTGTGTCACCAGGTGTTGCATCTGTTGCTAACATATATTCAGCTCTTTATTTTTTTCAAATTTTTGTGACTTTGTACTACAGTCCCATGGATAATAGTCTGATAAGAATAGTGACACAGTTAGTTTGACTCATGTTGGGGAGATAAACTGTCCATGTGCTGTGTTAGAGGAACCTGAGGAGCCCAAGTGAGGGCAGTGAGAGGTGAGTGGTCAGGCAGGAGTTTCATTTCTGCTGCAGAACTGGAATTATGAGAGAGACCAGTTTGGTGACTCGGTGTGCGCTTCATTTTTCTCTTGGTGGCAAAGCTAAATCCAGATGTCACCCAGGTCTGGAACCAGGGGCAGGAATTGGGACCAGAACTGTGTTGTAGTGCTTAATTCAAGGACTTGGCAGGTTCAGGACTTGCAGGGGGACATATCTCCTTGTGCTGGCTTTGTTCACTACTTGTTTGTAGTATTTTTTTTTTTTTGCCTTCCCCCCGCACTTCTCCACAGTTTTCAAGTGGCACTTGTGAGGTTCTTTTCACTGCCAGGTTTTATTCCTGAGAAGCATTGGTGGGCACAGGTCCCAGGGCAGCCACCTGAGCTCAGGGCTTTTACCCATCTGCATCATTTGCTTTTTATGATGACTTTAACCTGCTGGTTTATGACTTGTTTTCTCAGTCTCATAAAGTCTTTGACATTCCATTCTTGTCCTTGTTGCTCTGAATAACTTCAAACCACCAAAAAACCTTGTCACCTGATTTAGGACCATTTAAAATGTGTTGAACTGACACCAACTCAAAACTCCCCCAATAGCCCCTCTCCACTGAATGTTTGTATTTGCAAAGTCAAAGAAAGATGTGCAAAAAACACAATCAAGTTGTGTTTTAAGGTATATGACAGACCAGGCACTGAGATAATTTTTTATGGAGGCTTTTTGCCAGCTGTGGGAAACTAATTTCACCTTCCTTTTGGTGCCAGGTTGTGATCCCAGAAGATGCAACCCCCGTGCTGCAGTTTGTGGAGGACAGGATCCACACCACTATGGTAAAGTGTGGCTGGAGGTTGGCTTTGCATCCAGAGCGTGCAGCTTCCCCTGAATTGCCAGGAGTTGTCATCAGAGTCTGAGTGTGTTTCTTTGCTGTCACTGGGCACGAGGCAGGAATTCATTCCTGCTATTTAGAATCAAGGAATGGTTTGGGTTGGAAGAGACCTTAAAGCTCATCCAGTCCCACCCCCTGCCATGGGCAGGGACACCTTCCACCAGCCCAGGTTGCTCCCAGCCCCATCCAACCTGGCCTTGGACACTTCCAGGGATGGGGCAGCCACAGCTTCTCTGGGAATTCCATCCCAACCCCTCCCCACCCTCACAGGGAAGGATTTCTTCCCAATATCCCATCCAACCCTGCCTTCCTTCAGCTTAAGGCCATTCCCCCTTGTCCTGTCACTCCAGGCCCTTGTCCATCTCCTGTACATTGAGCTGATCAGCTCACAGATCTTTGGGAAGAAAAATGTGGAATATTTTGCATGTGACCCACTGATAGATCTTAAATTTCTTGCACATTTGATGCTTGGAATTAAAAACCAAGTATTTATGAACGTGCTTGACTTTTAGAACATCTTACTGAGCTGAGTGTTCACCAGCCCTCCAAAAAGTACATGGTAATTTATAAAGTTGAAAAGTATTAACTTCTTTTTCCCTAAATTTCCCTCCCAGCTGACTGGAATTGCAATTGGAGCTGCAGTGGCGCTGCTGTTCATTGCAGTTGTTGTGTTTGTTGTGTACAGAAGAGTGAGACAATCCAGTAAGTATTTGATAATTAAGTAAGTTTTAAAAGCAGTTTTCCCAGCTATTTTGAGTATTTTTGTAATAATCTGTGGTACTTGTTTGCTGTGAAGGGGTGGCTCTTGCAGGAAAACAGCATTAAAAGGATGAAGAGCTCTTGTTGATTCACTTACGGTGGACTGAACCCAGAATCCAAAACTGTCACGTTGTGGGATGCTGGAGGTTTTTATTTCTCCAGTGTGTGATTGGGATCAGCCTTAGCACCAGCTGTAAATTATGCAAATGATCTCAGCCCTGCTGTGATTTCACTGTTACAGTAATGAGAAATGGCTGAATTAGAGGTTTCCTTTGTGAGATTAAAATTGCCTAATCCTTGTCTCTGTTTTAGAGAGCCCTTTATCTCCCCTGGTGCTGAGGCAGAACCCCAAACCAGCTCCTCATTGCTCTGGCTTGGCTGGTCACACCTGGGTACTGAGGTGTCCTGAGCTGGTTTAAACTCCCAGTGCTGACCACGAGAGGTGCCAGCTGAGCAGGCAGGAGCCAGGGCAGCAAAACTGGCAGCCTGTGCTGGGGTGTTTTCCCTCAGCAGGTGGTTTCTGATGGGATGCTTCTCTGTTCCAGAACAACTGCAGCCCCACGTGCCCCAGTACAGGTTCCGCAAGAGGGACAAAGTGATGTTCTACGGGAGGAAGATCATGAGGAAGGTGAGAGAATCTGGCACAGGGGGAGGGAAGGGAGGTTGAAATTCACTCTGGAAGGTGTAGACTTTGCAATAAATACTTCAGGCCTTCAACCTGTAAAATTTTGCTGGGATTTCGTGGGTGTTTCAGAACCCCTGGAGCGCTTCCTGAGTTGCTGGTGGAGCAGCAGGAGCTTCTCCTTCTGGCCAAACTTTATCTCTTTCAAGAGTATTTGCAGCCAGTGAGGGTAGTAATAAACCAATGAATAGCTTAACTCCTATATGGAGCTGATGATTGTTTAAATATCCTGGAATCACAGAGTAGTTTGGGTTGGAAGGGTCCTTAAAGCTCATCCAGTCTCACCCCCTGCCATGGGCAGGGACACCTTCCACCAGCCCAGGTTGCTCCAAGCCCTGTCCAACCTGGCCTTGGACACTTCCACGGATGGGGCAGCCACAGCTTCTCTGGGAATTCCATCCCAACCCCTCCCCACCCTCACAGGGAAGGATTTCTTCCCAATATCCCATCTAAATCCACTGTCTTTCAGTTTAAAGCCATTCCCCCTTGTCCTGTCAATATCTTATATATATCTATATGAGATATATAGATATATATAAGATCTATATATATCTCACATATATATATATATGAGATATATGTATCTCTCATATAAGTATATAATATATATGTGTGTGTGGGCCTGCTGATAACCCCTGACTTTGGAAAGCTGCCTCTTCCTCAGGTGGTGCTTTTCAGAGCCCCAAATGTTTGCTGCTTATTTATAATCCTCTGTTCAGTGAAGGACAGTGGGTACAGGTGGCTGGAGGAGAACCAAGGCTGTTTAATTCTGTCTGGGGTACATTCTCCATGCCCTCTGTCCTGTAAAGTCAGAACTCCTGGGAAGCTGCCCGGCCAGGATGGGACTGGCCCCTTTTTTGGGGGCTGTACCATGACCTGCTGAGTCCAGGAGAGCCCTCACAGTGCCAGGTCACTGAAAAGCTGCATCTTTAGGAGAAGAAGGTCCAGGAAGGGAACGTTGGGTTGCCAGTCCCTGGGTGTTGGGGAGCATTTCCTCCTGTGACTGCCATGGCCTCCTGCCTTGTTCACTTGGTTGAGGTGAATTCGAACACCTGGATTTAATTAGATGCTGTGCTGGGTTTAATGTTCACTCTGGAGCTCTGTCTCACTGTGGAGGAGGCGGTTACTCCCTGAACCCTGCACTGCAGGTCAGCCTTTATGTGGAACTTGGCCACAAAAACCAGCAGTGGAGCGAAGTTGTGTGTGTGCAACTTCGTGGTTTTAATACTCCTCATAATGTTAAATGTGCAAACCCATAGTTTTAATGTTCTTTAACACAGCTGTTAATGTGTAAGTCACATAAGTAAAGAATGCTTAGAATCCCACATGGGAAAATAATTTCAGGTGGTTTTTTTTTGTTGTTTTGGGATTTTTTGTTTGTTTATTTGTTTGGTTTTTTTTGTTTTTTAGTTTTGGGATTTTAGACCTCGCTTTTTACTTTTGTTCCTGAATAAGGCAGAGAGTATTACACACTGACTGCTGTGGATTGTAATGTGGGGATTTTTGATAACTTATCAAGGTTTTACTTAAAAAAAAAAAACCACCTCCAAACTAATTAAAGATTTATTTTGTGACAGAGAAGTTTTACAGAGATTGAACTCTTAGAGAAACAAATGAAGAACTGGGAATGTTTTCGAAGTAACAAACGCATTTTTTTTTGGTGTAGCAGTTGTTGTGTTTCTCCAGAGGGTGGCACTTGGGAACTGGGAAAAGCAGGGAAAAGTCTTGGTTTGTCACCAGCCCAAACATGAACGTGGCCCTGGTTTGTCAGCACAGACTGACAGATGGAATCGTGGAACATCTTCTGTTGGAAGGGACCAACCAGGACCATCCAGTCCAGCTCCTGTCCCTGCACAGACACCCCAACAATCCCACCCTGTCCCTCAGAGCGTTGTCCAAACCCTCCTGGAGCTCTGGCAGCCTTGGGGCTGTGCCCACTGCCCTGGGGAGCCTGTTCAGTGCCAACCACCCTCTGGGGGAAGAACCTTTCCCTGAGATCCAGCCTGAGCCTGCCCTGACACAGCTCCAGCCATTCCCTGGGTGCTGTCCCTGGTCAGAGGGAGAAGAGATCAGTGCCTTCTTGTCTTGTTGAGTGTTCCTCAGTGAGAGCCACAGCTAAAGCGTTTTTCCCCCTACCATCCATTACCACTGTAGCAGTTGCTTAGTAAAATCAAAATATCCTTTACTTGCTTCATAGAGAGGAAGTGATCCTGAAGTAGATGTTGTTCCAACCCTCTGAGGTCTTACAGGAGTGTTTTATGCTGTTCATGTTCTGATGTGGCCTCAGGGCAGGCTCAGGTTGGATCTCAGGGAAAGGTTCTTCCCCCAGAGGGTGGTTGGCACTGAACAGGCTCCCCAGGGCAGTGGGCACAGCCCCAAGGCTGCCAGAGCTGCAGGAGGGTTTGGATGATCCTCTGGGGCACAGGGGGTGACCCTTGGGGATGGGCCTGTGCAGGGCTGAGGGTTGAACTCGATGATCCTTGTGTGGGTCCCTTCCAGCTCAGCATATTCTGTGGTTCTGAATGGCTGCTGGATGGGTTGGAACCTCTGCAGAGCTGGAACTTTTGGGTTGGTTTTTCTGGTTTGTTCTGGGGTTTAGTAACTGTTTTTGTTTTCCTTCTCCCCTGCCAGGTTACAACTCTCCCCAACTCCCTGGTTGGGAACACGGTGCCTCGCCAGAGGATGCGCAAACGGGCAAAGGTTTTATCTCTGGCCAAAAGGTACTGGGGCTTTTGGGAAGGGGAAAAATTATGCCGTGGAGGATGGCTTTGGAGTTTTTATTTGTGGCCCAGTCCTTAGCAGGGCACTTTTCCATAGCTCCTGGCTTTTCCCAGTCCTGTCAGCTGAGGATCAGCTGGGCAGTTTGGTGAACTGGAGGGGTTGGTGCAGCACTGGCTGGTTTGGTTGAAGAAAGGCAGGAGGGTGAAAGGTTTAGCTAATTGATGATGTGTGACTTGGGATGGTGAGTGGTTAGTATTCCCCATATACTTATCCAGTATTTACTATATAATTAAGACAAATGAGGGGATGTCCTGGCTCCCTGACTCGTGTTTTCCTTGGCAGGATTCTACGTATTAAGAAGGAATGTCCAACTCTGCAGAGGAAAGAACCTCCTCCCTCTTTGCTAGAGGCAGATCTGACTGAATTTGATGTGAAGAATTCCCATTTGCCATCAGAAGTCCTGTACATGCTTAAAAATGTCAGGTAATGCTAAATGGGAAGAGGAGTTTGGAGTTTGGATGTGAGTATTTGGCAGGTTGTATCAAGTCTCAGCCTTTATGGCTGCAGGGTCAGAATCTTGAAGGAGTTGACTAAAATTCATCTGAGCACGAGGACACGATAAAGGACTTTGAATTTTCTAGAAATGTTAAGAAAATAATGGAGTTTGTTTTAAAAATAAAAAATGAGGGGCGGGGGAAGGGATGTAGATTAGTAACCTTAATTTGGGGATGGTGATAATGAAGGTGTTCTAATGTGAACAAATGTAGTGCATTTTAAAACTCTTTAGGCTCCATTAGACAATTTTTTGCTACAGGAAAGCATCATAGTTGGTAAATGTTAATTGGATACCATATTGACAGCTCTCTAAGCTGCAGAATCTTTTACTTCTCTGGTTGAAAAGGTTGCAAATCAAATCAGAGTCAAGTTAATCCCCAGGGCTCTTGGGCAGATTAAGCAGAAGGGTTGGTCTTTGTGCCCCTTCAGCAAGAGGTTAAATTTGCTGACACAGCTGAGAGTTTCAGATTGTCCAGTCTGTGACTTTGGTTTTGTTTGTGGATGTTCATTTTTCCTCCCAGATATGATATAATTCAATCCTGAAGGTCATACATTCTCCAATAAAAGTGCTATTTAAGGCATCTAAACTCGCTGCTGTGGAATTATGATCTCCTGTGACTAATTGATGTTGCGGTGGAATTTGATGGATTAATCCTGATAAATGTGAGCTGATGGAGCTCTGTAACAGAGTGATCAGCTTTAAGATCTGTGTTTCTGTCTGCCTGGTAGTGACTGGCTATTTTCAGTACTGGAGGAGTCCAGGTGCACGTTACCTGCAGGAGATGGAATATTCCAAATTAAAAGTACTTGCAGATGACAGGAATTTTCCCCTGTGTTTTCAGTATTTCTCCCATGTCCTGGTTCCACAAACAGGGCAGCTGCACTAAAAGGGAGAGTTCCAGGGGGTAACTTCTCTCCTGCAGTGTGTGAGTCCTGCAGGGTTTTCCATTCCTTCTCCTTCTGAAGCCGTGCTGGTGTTTGCTGGAGGAAGGCTGGCTGCTCTTCCTGCTGAGCCTGCTGGTATTCCTTGGAGTTCTCCTCCAAAGGAACCCCAATATTTACAGCCTCAGTGTTTTACAGTGCTCTTGCACCTCTGTTTTGGGGAGCTCTGCTCCTTCTTCCCCTCGGCAGCCACTCGGGGCTTCCTCTTCTATTCGTGCGCTGCTAATTTAGGAAGGATTTTCCAAGGGCACTGGTGACTTTTTGGGTTTCCCCTCTGCATTTTCTTTGCTTGCAGGGTCCTTGGGCACTTTGAGAAGCCTCTGTTCCTGGAGCTGTGCAAGCACATGTTCTTTGTGCAGCTGCACGAGGGCGAGTACATCTTCCGTCCCGGGCAGCCGGACAACAGCATCTACGTCGTGCAGGATGGCAAGCTGGAAGTTTGCATCCAAGAAAGTGTAAGAATCAACTGCTCTGCAGTTTTGGAGATAAATCTGTTGGCATAGCCCATAGGCTGGCGTGAATCATTAAGCATTGATTAGACTTAGGCCTGTGAATCCCGGTGATTTGGAAGGGATCGCTCCCGGCTCTTGGGGGCCGTGGTGTTTATAAATATAAGTAGAAAGATCAAGGTTTGTAGCTCTGGTCCCTCGGGTCTCAGATGAGAGGGAAAGGCACAGTGCTGCTGGGGCATTTGGAAATATCCTCCCACATGAGTTGCATAGTCACTGAGGGAGGACAGGGCTTGGAAACATTCACTTTTGGGATGGTTGTTATAGAAAGTGGGTGGGCAGAGAGAGCAGGAGAGACCAAGCTCACTTCAGAATGTTCTGATGGGGGTTACTGGGTTTTACCTGAGAGATGGAAGAGTCAGATTCACTTTTGGGTAGACAGGGAAAAGAAATGATGGTTTGTTTCATGGATGAGTCTTAAAATGTTGAGTGCCAGCCCTTGTGATCCTTTCTGCCAAGTTTGATTTTTAGTGTTTTTCTTCTTCCTGGCTGAACACTGAGTTTAGCTTTAGGTTGTGAACAGGTTTCCAGTGGTTGAAAATGCAGGGGACTCGTGTTTGGAAATTATACCAGATTTGATGATTTCTGTATATTTTTACATTTTTCTGTTCTTGACATGAACCCCCTTGATAAAGGAGGCTCGTTCTGCCTCAGAGTGAGGGAAGCTCTTGTTCTGTTGGTGGTTACAGAGCAAAGACAAGCAGGTCCAACTCTCCCCAGACAAAACTGGCTTTTAGTTTCTTTAAATTTATCCCCTTTTAGAATGGTGGTTTGAAAGCCTGTGGTTGGAATTACCACCTTTCCACCAGAGCAGAGACAAAACAAGCACCCGAGTCCCAACGGGGAACCTGGAATGGGAGCTGCCCAGACTATGTGGGAAGGATGGGAGCTTTCAGAAACGCTCCCAGTTTGCCAAAATGCAGTTGTGAGCCTGCAGTAATGGTGTGTCTGTGCCTGCAGGATGGAACAGAAGTGGTGGTGAAGGAGGTGCTGGCAGGAGACAGTGTCCACAGCCTTCTCAGCATCCTCGATGTCATCACGGTGAGTTCTGGAAGCTGCAGGGTTCCTGCAGTGATGCTGCATGTCAGAGCCTGGCAGGGGGAGCAGGAGTTGAATATTCCTGGGAAGGACTCAGAATGCAAAGTGTTTTTTTGATTAACTCTTCTCCTCCTCCCAGGCCTTCCCGGGTGTGACGTGAGCTCTGGGTGTGTAAGGTGGCAGTGGATCTCTGGCTGTTCCTGCTCAGCAGTAGGATTTGGATTATTCCTTTATGTCTGGAAGTCTGAGACAGGGTTTGATTTGCTCAAGGGCACAACTCAAGTCAGGAGCAGGACCAGGTTGGGCCCAGAATTCCAGGCTTTTCCACTGTTTCACAGAATCCCAGAATATGCTGAGTTGGAAGGGACACACAAGGACCATCCAGTCCAACCCTCAACCCTGCACAGACCCATCCCCAAGAGTCACACCCGGTGCCTGAGAGTTTGATTTCTTACTTACTGAATAATTTTTATTTAATCTAATGGAAATAAATCTGACAGGTGCCATTACTGTGATTGTACTGTGAAAGCAGTTGGTGGGTTGATTTATTTTCCACCGTCGGTGGTGCTGGTGACCAGCTGAGGGTTGTGCTCTTTGGCAGGGGACAGGATGAGCTGAATGTTTGGGGGGGGGGTGGTCATATTTGATGTGCAGATTGGTGAATTTTGTTTCAGTTGGAATCACACTGAGGGTTTTTTTGAAATCATCCCAGCACAGATCTTTAGGAATACCTGAATGGAAGGTGTTGAATTCACCATCTTTGATAATACTCAAACACTGAATGTGCTTTCTGTTGAAGGATTTCAGTAGTTGAGAGGATGAGGATAATCTAATCAGTATTAAGGTTTGGCCTTGTATCATATTTCTGTTGTGCTTGGCTGTCTCTGTTCATCAGAAGGTGCCATTAAGTAGTTTAAGGATTCTCTAAAGTGTTCTTTGCCACTTTTAAGTGCAAACATGCATCTATGTATCTGTATTTATAGTTCCCATAAAACCTATCGGCAGGGATACAATTTTTTAAGCTTGGTCACACTGTCTTCTGTAGAAAGTAATGGCATGTGAATAATTTGGACTGTACAAGTCCAGTTCTTGCTGTCAAATTCATATGAATCTATTTCTGAATTCATGTTAGTACCTCTTTCCTTGTTACTTCTGCCACTAAATTTTCTTAATGACAATATTCTAAAGAGCAGGACCATCATATAGGAACATTAATACTAGTCATCTTCTTGCTTTATAAAGGAATATAGGAAAAGAAATCCTTCTTGTATAACAGTGTTTTGTGGCTTTTTTTTAAAGAGTGTTGCCATTCATTTTGTGTTGTGTTGGGATCTTTTTTGGTTTTTAATTCTCATTCTATGATTTTTTTTTCTCTTTCTCATTAGTTATACCACTGGTAAATAAAAAAAATAAAAATGATTGAAAGTGTGTTGAACAGAATTAGCAGCATGGAGGAGAACATGGAATGAAAAAACCTTGCAGTTTTGTTTTTTTTTTTTTTTTGCTAAACTTGTTCTCATTTAATTTTACAACTCTTTTGTTCCTCATTTCCCAGCTTTGTGGGAAATAAAGCTGCCTGGTTTATTTCTGTTTTTCCTCTTCCTTATGTCCCTTGCTGACTTTGGGTATGGGAGAAGGATGAAAATGGGCAAGGAGTGAGGAAGTTGTCATTCCAAATCAATGCATTAGAACTTCTGCAGATATCAGAACCTTGTCACCCACCTCAAGGCTCTGACATGAAGAAAGGATGTATTCAGAGAGCATTTCGGTTGTCCTATCTAAATTTGTGATTCTTTTGATTGGTTTTGTAGCAGGTGATGTCAGGCTGGGCCCTCACTTAGCTGAGAGGTTTGTGAGAAAGCTGAGGTTGCTGCAAGAGCTCTTGTTGTTGGACCTAAAAGAAAGGTCACCCAAGAGGCACTTTTCTAGTTCAGTCTTTCAGTTTTTAAATTGAAAAGTCCTTTTAGATCTACTAAATGCAAAGGTACCAGCTGTGACTTTAGACTTCACTCATTCTGAGAACAGATCAATGCTGATTTCTCCAAACTGGAAGGAGAAGCTGGAGGCTTTTGAATCCAAGCAGGTGCAGGCCCTTTCCTGGTATTCTGGAACAATTCTGAGGTGCAGTTAATCTGACTCTGAGCTGATACTGCCCCAAATGTTCAAGAAGTCTCTGAGCTAAACCTTGTTGACGTCCATGAGGTGTTTTCAGCAGCTGAGAGCTCGTGTGTGCAGCCAGAGCTTTTCCCTGGACAGGGAATGTTCATCCAGGGTTAAATGGGACCAGCTTGTGGTGCTGATTTCTGGAGCTTTGGGGCTGACTCTTCTTTTGTCCTCCTTGTGGAGCTGGTGTTTGGAAAACTGGGAGCAGGAATGAAACAGAAGAGGCTGTGAGGATTATTGATCAACTGGCAGTGACTGAGGCAGGGGAAATGACATCCAGGATTAAAAAAAGCTGAAAAAACCCAGTTGGATAAAGGTGAGCCTGCAGGGCTCAGGTCTGTTTAAGTGGCACTGGACAAGATAGATGAGGTTATAAAGAAGAGATTGATTGCTGCAAGAGCTTTGGGTGCAGCAGTGTTGGTGCAGTGAGGAGGGTGTCAGGTTGGAGGGGAGCAAGACAAATCCCAGGCCATGGAAAGAGGGAGAATATGCCAGATTTTTGGGTACAGAAAGGAGGAGTTACCACTGCAGGTGGCAGAATGTAAAGCACCTGTATCTCTTGTAGCACATTTCTTAACCAAATTCGTTTGGATTTGGCCATTAGCTGTCATTTGGATTTGGCTGCTGCCTGTAGGTGACATCTCACAGTTCTTGGAACAAGTAAATAGTTACCTGCCCTGAGAACAAAAAGTTCTCTTGAAAAAAACCCGTTTCACTCCTGATTATAACTTAACTGTTCCTGTCATCTCAGTGTGGGATTGCAGAGTAGTATAATTTAAACCTGGTATTCTCCCTGTGCTGCTGATTATTTTGCATCTGAGAGAAGTGACAATTACAGAACATTTCCTCCTCGAGCTCCTCTCACAGCTTTTAGCATGTTCCAAATCCATTAGTTGTGGTGTTGGCCCTTTCAGAGCAGAGCTGCTCTCATGCAGGGATATGAAAAAGGCAAAATTATATGCTGAAAACCTGGAGGAATGGGCTGTTCTTTGGAGGAAAAGGCTGCTGAATCATTATCCATTATTATCCCAGAACTGGTTTTCCGACACTCTCAGAACTGGCCTCTCCTCTCACAAGCACAAGAAAAACCCAAACACTTTACTGGGCAGACTGGAGACCACGTTACTGCATAAACAGGGCTTATTTGGCTCTGGGGAATAACTGTTATGGAAGACTATTAAACTTGGTGTTTATTCTAGTCCAGCAATAAAAGATTTACCAGATTTCCTTGCTTTTCACTCTATATTTGATGTAGAGATTGGTGGGAAATACAATTGGTGGCAAATTCAGTGATCTATGCACTTAAAACCAGACTATATACATTTTCTATTGCATTTAAGTATAAGAATTCCAAATTAATTCTTTATCTGAAGGCAGACTTTAAACTGGCTTGTAAAAGAGGATTGTTGCCTTTATTTTTGTTAATTTTGGTAATTTCTTTACCTAATTAAAGGAAACTTGAGAAAACTGAGGACACTGGCAACTTTGCCCTGTAGGTCAAAGAGATGTTTAAAATTTCCAATCCCTCAGGAACTTGAGAAATCAAAGCTATTAATACCATGCCCAGATTGTATAAAAAGGTCAGCCGAAGTTTGTGTAATTAAGAAATTGGTTCCAATTAATTTAATTTAATTTTAGAACCTACTTCATGGTGCCTTGCAGACCAGCAGACAGAGCTGCAGCTTTATTTTCCAGAGAGATTGTCGTGGTGCAGAAAGTCTCTTGTTTGGCTTTGCTGGGATCTTCAGGCAGGAATTCCTTCCCAGTTATTGTGTGGAGTTGTCTGGTGCTCTGGAAGACTTGGGAGTTGTTCCCTTTATAATCAGCATTTAATGTCTGTGTGTTTAGTGCTTGGGAAAATTTCCTTGCTGCTGTTCAGGAGGGGAAAGCTGTGAGGTGGCTGTTAAAGCAGAAACTCCATTTCTTCCTTCTCTGTGCTGTGAAAGGGCTCATTTTATCTTAGAAATATTGGATATTTGATGTATTAATTAATTAATGAGTTATAGATGTTATTTCCAGCATTACATTTTAGAAGGGGTGTTGTCTGGAGTTTTTTGTCCAAGTGTTTGGCTTGGCAATAGATTTCTATTTAAAATCTCTTGTGATTCAAGGGGATAAATCCTAAACCAGAGGCTTGCCTTCCAGGGTAAAAAAAAAAAAAATCTCTGTATTCTGCCCACTTGCAGTTTTATTTTTCATTGGTTTGTTAATTCTCAATCTGTTCTTTGAGCAAGATGTTCTAGACCCACTTTGTCTTAAGTAAAGAGAAGCTGTTTGGCTTTGTCACACGGAATATGTCACATATATATATATGAAGATATATATATGTGTCTTGAAACACAAGAAGTCTGCCTGGTTTTCCTCTCAGTCCATTATGTGTGTAATTACTGTACAGTTTTGTTGTATTTTGCACTGATTGTGTGAGTCTGGGGTTGTTTTTGCAGCAAATATAGCTTGGCTGTCAGTACAGATAATAAAATCAACAAAGCCTCTGTTCTCTTCGGCTGGAATTTGAAATGCTTCTGAAGAGCCTGGCTCTGTCTGTAGTGACTGTGACAGAGCTGGCAGACCCTTAACCTGAGCCACCTTCCTGTAGCTCTTATTTCTCTGCCTCTGCCTCTGTTTAATTCTGATGGAGCTGCAGGTGTGAGTTGGCTCTCGTTACTCCACCTGTGGGTCATGGAGCACAAGCTGAAGCCCTTCTGTGGTCAGATCATGTCTGCCAAACATGCAGAGCAGCAAAGCAGGAATTTGGGAAGGTTTGGGGTTGGAGAATTGGGGGGTTAATCTTGTGTCTCTGGAACTTTCCATCAGGGCCACCCTGCTCCGTACAAAACAGTCTCGGCCCGAGCAGCCACTCCATCCACCATTCTGAGACTTCCAGCAAGTGCCTTCCAGGATGTGTTCCAAAAATACCCTGAAACTCTGGTGAGAGTGGTGCAGGTAGGTACAAGTGAGGGGGAAGGGGGAATCGCTCTTATTCTGAAGTTACAAGGAAGACATTCAGAGGTTCAGCAGCTTCATCGTCCTTTGGCAGGCAGGGAACTGCTCAGTGCAGCTTCTTCTCAAGATTTGGAATATATCCTGCTATTCCCCTGGTTGTTAAAGCCCTAGACTTAATAATTCCAGCATTATCACATACAGGAAGAAATAATTTATGTGTATATATATCTCCATTAATTGAGTTTCTGCCTGTGGTAGCCTCTTTAATCAGCCTGACCTGCACTGTCAGGTCCTTGGGGGGAAGGTGCTGGCGTGGGCTCTGCATCTTAGTGAGCACCAGCAGTGCTTTAGAATGGCTTAGAATCATGAACAGGCAGTCACATGTTCTGAAATAGAACTGTTGGACCCTAAGAAGCTGTTTGGTGAGGGGTGATGCTTTGGAAAATTCACAAAACTCAGATGGATGTGTGAATTTTCCACTTCAGAAGTGTCTGGCAGCACCCGAGGAAAGAGCTGTGCTTTGGGTTAGCTTAAAGTTCACCTTCCCCTGCTTTGCAGGAGCTCAGTGTGTTCCCAGGTGAGCACTGAAGTTTGGCTTGTCCCTCCTGCAGGTGGGAGGTGGTGCAAGGATCAGGAATTAGGGATTCCAGTTTGCCTTGTCCCTCAGGTGTAACAGCCAAAGTGTGCAGTGTCTGATGAGTCACTCTGGGCTGTCCTTTTGTTTTACTATCACTGCTAAATCTTTTTGTCCTTGCAAAGTGTTCTGGTATCTGGGTGATTTATGAGTGACACCTGAACCTCCTGGTTGAGGAGAGCAGATCATTAACACCAACTTAATTTGCTCTGGGAGAGCTGGTGCAAAAGTGGGAATGGCTTAGGAGTGGGAATTGTCTGGCAGGGCAGAGGAAGGTCGGGTGGCACTGCTGTTCTGGGTTAGGTTTGAGTGCTTGTGGAGCAGCAGCTCAGGTTCTGGACGGGGAAAGATGGATTAATTTCTTTAATGAGAGGGGAAAATTGGAAGCAAAACCTTTTATTTCAAAGGACCTCTATTATTGGTGTTTACAGAAAGCAAAAAGCATTTGGTGTTTGGGAGTGAGGCTTTGGATTCTTATGCCATCAAATGATTGTGAAGTCATTGTAAATCACTTGACTCTGTCTCAGTTTATCAACTGCTAAAAAGGAATTTCAGCTTAGGGTACAGCCTGTGTTTTATAAAGTGCTTTCAGGTACTGTGATTGTATCTAAATGCCAGAACAAGTGTGGGAGAATGCTAAATCCCTTCCTGGTGCTTCTGGTTTGCAGATCATCATGGTGAGGCTGCAGAGGGTGACATTCCTGGCGCTGCACAACTACCTGGGTCTGACCACCGAGCTCTTCAGCTGTGTGAGTCTGGGGGGGGGCTGTCCCTCAGCTCTGACAGGGCACAGGGAGGTTCTCCTTCTTCCAGAAGGTCGTAAAGCAAATGCTACCTATTAAATTCCTAATGGCAGGGCTTGAGGAGTGAGGTACTTGTACAACCAGCCCATAAAAACCCAGCCCACGCCTGGGGAATTGTTGGGGAAGCTTCCACGTCCAAAGTGCATCGCTCCTGAGTGATGGATGTGCTCTGCTCTGTGCTCCAGCACTGCTGACGTTTGTTAATGGCTCCTGGTCACCTCCACCTCGAGCAGTGTGGAAAATGCTGTCCCTGTGGTGGCAGAGGGTCAGGCTCTGCCCGAACAAGGTGCATTTCTTTGGAAAGGAGGCCGTGCAGCAGTGGGGGAAGATGCTGGGAAATTCTCCTAACTTCAGCAAAACAGTGTTTGATCCCTGTAGCCATGATTAGTGCTTGGTCCTGTACCAGGTAGTGCTCAGTGCCTATAGCAGTGATTAACATGTACCAGCAGATGCCTTAGTTCTGAGAACAAAGACCGTGTGTTTTTTAGCAAAGACAGTGAGAAAAGTACAATGTGATTTGACTACATAGTTGAGATACTTTCAAGAAGAGATTCTTTAGGATATCTGGGACCACAGAAGGAAAGTTTGGGGAATGGAGTGTTCCCCAAGCGACAGAGACCCTCAAAACGCCCCTACTCATATCCAGAGATGTTCACAGTAGTTAGCATATGTGTATGTGTTCTGGAGATGTCATGGATGTGTAGTGATTATGTATTCATTTCACATCTATAATCTGGTCTGTTTGGTTGCTGGGTGTGCATTTGAGGAGAGATCCCCCATGCACCCAGTGCTGTAAATAATGTCTGATATAATTTAAAATAATGGCTTTTTAACCCAACAAACTGGTTGGAGAGATTATTTCCCCTTTTTTTCTGAAAAGGCCAGGGAATACCTAAACAAAGTGGCCAGTTTTGAGTGCCCAGACCCTGATGGGATGGATGAGGGAGCTGGTGGATCCCATGACAAGTCACCCCTGGTGGTCTTTGATTGATCACCACAAGTGGGAGCAGTCCCTGGGGGTCAGAGCATGCTGCAGGCCTGTGGGACAGGAGTGAGTGTGTGGTTTACCTTTCCTTCTCCCCTTGCTCCCTGCAGCAGAGCCAGGCCATCCCACTGGTGTCTGTGACCAGTGTCACAGCTGGAGGAAGCACCAGCAAAGCGGGGAAAAGACCAGTGCCCAGTGCACTGGAGGAGGATCGTGGGGAGAAGTTTGAAAGATCTGGGGAAGGACTGGAAATGGGTAATGTTACTGGAAACCTGGAGTAGCTTTTGTGACCTTCTTTAATTGCTGTGCTAATCACACAATCCCAGAATGGTTTGGGTTGGGAGGGACCTTAAAGCCCATCCCTTCCCACCTCCTGCCATGGGCAGGGACACCTTGCACTGGCTCAGGTTGCTCCAACCCCAAATCCAACCTGATCTTGGACACTTCCAGGGATCCAGGGGCAGCCACAGCTTCTCTGGGCAACCTGTGCCAGGGCCTCCCCACCCTCACAGGGAGGAATTCCTTCCCAATATCCCATTTAACCCTGCCCTCCTTCAGCTTAAAGCCATTCCCACTTGTCCTGTTGATTTGATCGACCATTGATATCACTGCTGTTGATCAGAGGATTTTTATTTTATTCATTAGGAACTGCCTTAGATGAGTTTCAGTTTTGAAGCCTTTGGATGACCCTTAGCTCCAAAGGGAAATTAGTACTGTCTTGTTAATTATATTGAGGGATGAGGGGGAGGAGGAAAAAAGGGACTCCTAATTTTGAATGCATAGGAGGAGCTGGGAAAATTGTGCACTCTAGATACCAGCAGAAGAATTGCTGGATATGTGTCTTATCAGGCTAAAATGTCAGCACTGAAGGTAAACCCAGGAAAATAGAGTTGAATTTTGCCTCTGCACCTGGAAAAAAAACACCCCTAATTAAATCAAAACCGGGAAACAGGTTTAAACAATGTTTAACATTAATGTTTCAAAACTTTTAACACAGTGGGTAGTGAGAGGTTCTTTCTGGCAGTGAAACTTATTTTATTTGAGGTTACCTTGCTTTTACATTTGTGTAATTTTTGTCTCTAAATTCCAGATATGTTGAAGGTTTCTGGTGCAGAAAACTCAGAGCATATTTTCAGGAGAAGCCTTTCATCACCTCCCTATGCAGGGTCTGCAGAGGCTTCTAGTAAGTAGTGCTTGGCAAAATTGTGGGAAATGTATAATTTATCTAATCATATGGGGGGAAACCACATGATCTCTGGAGTGCTGGGGTAGATAATCTTCCTGTTTATGGTAGATAATCATCTTGCAGACCTGTTTATGGTAGATAATCCTTTTGCAGTAGTGCTGCTTCCTAACTCATTTTTCAGAAATTTATTTAGTAAGTAACAAGTGGACTATTATCCAAGAGAGCATTCCCTTGCTGTCATTATTAACAATGGGGAACATGCAGTAATTTGGCTACCAAGGCCTGCAAATGAAGAGCTTTATTAATTGGTATAACTGAAACAAAGTGAGTTATGATGATGTGCCATCATCTTTCATACAAAAGATGACACACGGTTCTTGCTTGGCTGATTGTCCCAAAAAGCACATTACACATGGCTTTGCTGCTTTTAGGGGAATGTTTTTGGTTGTTTTTTTTTTTTTTTTTTTGAGTGGATAATAAAGGTGATTGATCACTGGAGGCTGGGAGGAGACATTTATGAGGCAGAGCTGGTTTGATGCTGCAGTATCGGTATTTAGGGCAATTTTAGTCATCTCCACTGTGTAGGCATCTTCCTCTGGGCCAGGTGTTTAGGACAGCTTTGTGTTCCAAGGTGTGGAAACTGGACTTGTGGCAATCCCAGAGGGAGGGCATCAATCTGTGTTAGCTGAGTGCCAGACTGACCCTTGGGAGGGAGTTGGGAGGTCATGCTTAGATACTGTTAACAGAGAATCCATAAAAGGTTTCATCAGGGCAATAAAGGTGCCCTGGGTACTTTGGAAGATACTTTTGTTGCTCACCTTGGCTATTAAATAGCTTAGAAGATAAGAACATTTTGTGAGGGTTAAAGAGTATGGAGACAAGGAGAAAGGAGGGGCACAGGCTGGGGGAGCAAACAGTGCCGAGAGCTCTGCCCAGGGCAGGGTTTGTGTCAATTGTTGCTGTCCCATTAGGCTGGGGATGTGCAGGGAGGAGAGGAACGAGGAGTGCCTTAATTTTTAGCACTGGAGGCCTGATTTGTTTCCTCTTCAGTTCCTGCTGGGCAAGTGTACACGATCCCACTTAGATTTTTCCACAGCTTCCATGTTACTGTCCAGAGGGATGGATGTGATGGAGAAGTAAAATTTTTGGCTACTGGTCAGTACCTCATCTTTTTGAACCAGGGGAAAAAAAAATCCCCTGACTTGAAAGGGGGCATGGCTTGATTTTCCTGCGTGTGAGGTTGTTTTGCACTGTGCAATAAATAACATACCAGCAGAGTTGATTCAGTGGTGAATTAGGTAATGCCCTGAACACAGGGCAGTTCAGTGAGCTCTGCCTGTGCAGCCCTGTGACATTTGTAAGGGACAGTCCTTGCATGTTCTTCGGAGCTGGATCCCTGCAATGGTCTCTGTTAATATGTCCATTTGTCCTTCCTTTCTCCTTTTGGGTGTCACAAGAGTTGTGTCAATGTACACTGACCTTAGCAGAGAGAGAAAATTAATTTTTACTGACAGAAGGAGCATATCTAATCGGGTAATTATGATTTGCCTCAGTTAGCAGAGCTGATTTCTGCTCCCTGCACTGAGGGTACTGTTTAGTTTGCACAGAAAGTGTCGTGATGTCTGTAATGAAAAGATCAAGATCTTGCTTCAGATTCTGTTCCATTGCCTTACAGTGTGTTCAGGCTCCATGGAATATTGATTATGTTTATTACTGATTCAGAGAGGAGAGAACAGTCTGTATTAGAATAATGCAGGTGCTGTTATCTCAGCATCTCCTTGATCTACTTGGCTCATTAGAATTAACAAAAAACTGCTAAAAATTCCTTTTGGGGAAAACACTTTTGCCTCCGTTGCTCCTGGGGTTGGGGTCTAATTTGTTCTCCTGGTTTTTGTGCAGTCTCTAACTGGAAGCATGGCAGTTGTGTAGATGAGGGGATAGGATCCTGCCAACTCAGGCTGCTCTGCTTTTCAAGTGTGCTAACCCTTTGTGGAGAAAGATGGAATTAATTCATGTGAAGCACCTGCTGGACAGAGGGAATTAGAAGAAGGAAGCAAATCAGCAAGGCCGTTTCTGTGATAAATTCACCCATTTGCTGTTCCTGGAAGTGTGTCTTCCAGCTTTTATTTTAAGGTTAAATAGCAGCTGTCTTTTATTGGTTTGTTTGTTGTTTTTTGTTTCTCAAGAGTTGAGAGAAGCTGCTTTTCCCCTCCAATTCCCAAAGCCCTGTGGGAATGTGGGCCCACCCGCCGCAGGCAGGGCAGGTAGTGCAGTGATGAGTGCTTGGCAGGGAAGAGGCTCTGGAATGCTGCCAGCTGCCATTGTTTTTGCAGTGACTTCCATCCCAGCAGTGTGTGGGATAGCAGCAGGCACATGTTCCTCACACAGGATCACATTCCACTCCTGTTTCCCACTGCCTTCTGTTCCTTTGACTCAACAGTCGCAGCTGAAGCTCGTTCTGCCGGATCCTTTCCCACTCCCGTTTGAGCAGCAAGACAGTTTAATTAATCACTGTGTGGGCAGCTCATCCCTACGACTGAGATGAAGATTCTGCTTTGAATAGAAGTCTAGTAGACATAAGCTTTCATTCTTAGAATGCCTCGTTCTCCCCTCCCTGAGTTTTTAATGTGCAGAGGATGCTCTCCGTGCCCACGTGCCCATTATTGGATTATTTGGGTTTTACATGAGAGGTGTGTGTTTAGATTGGAAAGGCACTTGGTGTGTTGGGGCTCAGGAATTGCTGATGCTGGCATTTGGGGGTCAGGGTGATTGACAGGGAGGCAGATCAGCCCATAGGGAGCTGCTAGTTCTGCAATCCCAGCTTTTTTGTTTATAGCTGATTTAGGGTGTTTAATGCCACAGTGAAATGAAATTCAGTTAATAAAACCAACAGCTTTTTGGCTGGTTTGTTTGTTTGTTTGTTTTTCTGATTTTATGGTTTATAAGTTCTGCTGATAACAATCTTTGGGTCACCTTGTTTGGTTCCTTGTTTGGAGGCTGATCATCGAAGGATGTTGTTACGACCCCAGTGGCACACGTGGATTTCCTACATGCAAAGATTGGTTCACATTTGTACATCACAGAATTGTTAAGGCTGCAAAAAACCTCTCCAAGCTCACCAAGCCCAACCATTAACCCAGCACCACCACCGTGTTCACCACTCACCCATGTCCTCAAGTGCCATTTCCACACGGTTTTTGATCACTCCCAGAGACTGAGGCTCCACCACTGCCCTGGGCAGCTGTACCAGTGCTTTACAACCTTTCCCTGGAAAGATTTTTCTTGATATCTAATCTAAACTTCCCCTGGCACAACTTGAGGCAGTTTCCTCAAGATGGCATGGGAAAGAGTACTCAGAGGTAGATCTGAATATTTGGGACAGTGAGATTCTCCCCTTGTCTCAGCTGGGGGGGAGGCAGGAGTCAAACCCCTACAGAAATAAAAGATTTGTGGTTTTAAAATGAAATTTATGGGCAGCTCTTCATGGAGGGGTGATATTTTCACGTGATCATGTATCACAGGGTTGTAAATAAAAGCCAGCTCCATGTTTACAAAAACCAAGTTCCCAAAGCTCTGGGCAACACTCGAGTGCGTGTGTGCAGAGAGAGGGAGATTGGGAAGGAAAATTAAAAATTTGAGCCCTCTCAGAATTCATTGGGTAACAAAAATTACCAGTCAGGAAAGACAGTTGGTTTTCCTAAAGGCCCAGCCTACTGCTGAGCAGCAATTTGTATTTATAAAAGCAAAAGTATAAGAACAATGACAGAAGGGAAAAGGCATAAGGGAGAAAATAGTCTTATTTTGGAAATATATTGAGTATGGAAATATGATGGAAATTATTATAGGCTTATTTGCTGATGGAAATTGCAATTTCTGAATGACTCTTAAACTCATCTGTAAATCCTCAGACTGATGTGGGGGAATCCTGCTCTAAGTATTTAATTAAATAGGAAGAGTTTCCTCATTATGTTTGGATTATTGATTAGCTCAGAGAAGTTCCTGGAAGGTGGATGAGACAGCCAAGGAGCTAATGTAATTAAGCTGTATTAAATTGAGAAATAAGGAATACAGGTTGTGGTGACTTCAAATTCATGAATCAAGTAAATTCCCTGTTAAGGAATTTCTTATGGAACTCTCAGCACCACAGTTTGGACAAGTTGTAGAAAGGAGAAATGCTTTGTATGTAGAGACCTTAAGAAGTTGCTGATCATAATGTTCTTCCCTATGAAAGTTCTTGCAATTTATTGGGTACAGAAAAATTTCTTTTCTTTGGTGGATAAAAGGTTAATGAGAATCACTTCCTGAAAACAACAAGGAAATTCTGTTTGGTGGATTTGCCTCCATGAAAATTATCAGATGTGAATGGCTCTCTTTGGTCTACCCCAAAATGATGATTGTACTCTGTAAAATAATGGGTTTGGGAGTTTTGGGACAAGATCTACGAGTGAGTTCAGATGACAAGATACAAAGTTCCCATCCAATCTTCCAGGTCAAAGGGAATCAATGAGAATATAAAGATGCCTCTTGCTAAAGTTGCTCCACTCTGTGTGTTTTCTGCTGTTTCTGAGGAACTGTAATAAAGGAGGTGCTTAATCCAAGATTTTCACGTTGTTTTCAGATAATTCCAGCAGTGCCAAGTCTGACATGGACATGGCCTACGAGAGGGCCCGTGTTCACCTGGTGCCAGAGGACGCTGCCGGCAGCCCCGGGACGGCCAAGGTGGGTCTGGCTGATCCTCTGGGAGTCCAGCCTGTCCCTTGCCTTGTACATCATTATTCTTGGAGTCATTCCAGTGTTCTCTTCCTTTGAAACGTTGCCCTTGTACCTCTGCAGGGGTTGGGATGTTTGGTCTTCCAGAGTCAGACTGGTTTGGGTTGGAAGGGACCTTAAAGCTCATCTGGTTCCACCCCCTGCCATGAGCAGGGACACCTTCCACTAGCCCAAATCCAACCTGGCCTTGAATGTTTTTTTATATTATTATTATTATTTTTTAACTTACAGTTGTTTCAGTAGATTTTGGTGCTATTTTTTGTGATTGGCGCTTTGCAGCAAGGAACTAAAAACTCATATCAGCCTGTGAACTTCCTAGGGGTTTCCAGTTGCTGTTTATCAATCTGTTTTTCTTTTTTGAGGTCTGATTTTTATGAATGCTGACCTGGAAGTCAAGAGCACAAAAATGCTCTTGAATTATGAAGCTGCAGACTAAACATTGAAGTGAAACTGTTGCTCGTTGTGACCTTGACAGACGTTTTTCCTTCTCCTCCATCTTTGTGTTGGTGAAGTTTTAGTTCCATCAAGCTGCCCCATTTCTTAAAAGTCTCTTACTCTTCCCTTTCACAAGCTGTGATGAGTAACTTTGTTTGGCTCGAGCGTCAGAAGAAAACACAGGGATAATGAAGTTAGCAAGCTGTTGCTTTTTTGGAAACCTAGATTTCTTTTATACAGACCACCAGTTGTGGTGGGCAGAGAACACGTGATGTGGCCCATTTTGGCTGGGTGAGTGCTGGTTGTGACATTTAAATGATCCTTGTTGTGTGTTTCTGCTCTTTGCAGTCCATCCTGAAGAAGACTGTGACGGTGACAGAGACTCCTTCAGCAGTTTTCCACTACAGTGCTGTGCAGGACTCCTGTAACACCAAACACATTGATGCCATGGTTGAAGCAGCAAAGAAGGACCTCTCAACCCTGATGAAGCTCGATGTAAGTCATTGCCGGGAGAACTGGCTTTGTTTTCGCTTTTCATCTCACTCTGCCCGGAACTAAAAAGTAAATTGTCTCCCCAGGACTGTAGAGGAGCCAAATGTTTTATTCAATAGTTGCTGAAGTTATTAGAAGGGCTGAAGTAAATTTGAATTATTCTGCCACTTGAGCAGACCACGCTGGAATGCAGTGCATGAATCTTCTCTCACTGTGTGCAGATTTAGCCCTGTGAGCAGCAAATGTGCAATTTCTGCCACCTTCTAATTCTGTGCTCTCACATACAGTGTGTGAACAAGTTATGTAAAGGCATTCAGGTGATTACTGAATCCATTAATGCTCTTGGCTCAGCATCCAAGTGCTTGTTTGGGTTTTGGAGTGGAGTCTCTGTGCTTGGCAGTGGCACTGGGAGCATTTCCCAGCTGGGTCCTGTGCCTGGTGACCTCCCAGTCCCCCCCGAGCTCAGCCCCTGCTGAGCCCCTTCATGTTGGAAGAAGGGATGAAAGCGATTGTTTCCATCATTCCTGTGATTCCAGCTGCATTCCATTATGGAGCTGTAGCTGTTCATGCAGCTAATCAGACAATTTGGGAAAACTGTGCATGTGTCTCAGTCCGTCACAGCCATCCCTGGTTTGTCCCAGCCTGTCCTGCAGTAACTCTGCTGGTGCTGCCAGGGGCTGGGCACAGCTGCTGCACCCCCTCCTCTGCTTCCAGACCTGTCACCAAACTGCACTTGGTAGAACTCTAGAAGATTTTACTTTTGGATTTTGACATTCCCTCCCCATTTCCAAATGATTCCCGTTGTGATTTCCAAATCCCTGTCAGGGTCTCTCAGCTCCCAGCTGGGAGGCTCGAGGCTCCCCATCATCACTGATCTAAGGTCTGGCTGCAGGAGACTCACCTGTCTTATGGTAATTTTCAGGCATTTATATCCTCATGAAAGGCTACAGACTTATCTTAGAAGAAATTCTTGTTACAGATGGAGAGAACTAGGACTAGGTACCTTCATCTGTTCTGCTCAGCTTCCTGTTCTTGATAGAACTATCAGATAATGAGCAGAAATCCTGAGATCATTGAAGTGATTACAGCACTTTTTTTTTTTTTTTTTAAAGGTCTAGAATAAATTTCTCAGTAATTAACAAGCAGCAGTTTAGAGATGAAGTTAATTGCAACAGTATCCTTGAAATGCAGCACCTAATAGGCAGTGTTTGTAAGGTGAAGATCTAAATAACAATCAAACAAGGTAGGATTTTCAAACTTTGGGATTATAGCAACTTTAGTTTTTCTCAAGCAAACTGGAATCTGATGGGATGTAGCCAAATACCAGGGATCTCATTGAAAACTTAATTTTTTTCCCAGACAGGATAGTAAAAGTTCTTTTACAGGCAGTGGAAGAGAAGTCTTGCTGTGTGCAAAATATTTGTGTTCAACACTGCTTACATAAAAGATGAAAATGAATTCTGTAAGCTGGCCTGGTAAAAAATGAGATCTTTTATTTCTCAGCTGGCTGGAAGCATTTTAAATTGTCATTTTGCAGAGCAGCCAACCAGAGTGAATCAAATAAAGATGTTTTGGTGACAGATGGTGGTAGGTTTGGGGGTATTTTGGTTGTTGGGTTATTTTCATGATACTTTGAGAGAGGAGGGGATAAATGACTGTTGGAGAGAGGCATGGTTGTTTCAAATGGCCTTTAGGTATCTGACTTCAGAATTAAAATTTTGGTTTTTTTTTCCTTTTGTTTTAAATAACTTTAATTCCTTAGATTTGTCATGAATGGTTTTCAACCTCACACAATTTTTACATGGTTTCAGCTTTGTCTGCAGTTCTGATATGACACTAAGCAGTGTTGCAGGGCATGTCTTCTGTGTGAGCTATAGGGGAATTTCCTTTGCCAAAGGAGTTATTTGTCCCAGTTAATTACTGGGTTTGCTTATTGTTTATAAGTGGTTTGTATTTTCTCTTTTGCATCATAAGCCCTCCTGGTTTGTTATCCAAAAATAACACTTGTTATATTTGTTACTGTAATTTATACTGTTACCTGATTTGTGAAGTTTCCTGCTGCAACCATTTGTTACAGTAATGCAAAGAAAGGCACTTGCTGGGAAATGGAGTTTGTTGTGGTAATGACTCGTTTTCCTCAAAGCTGGTGGCTGGAGGAGGCTGGAGGGGACCAGTGCAGAGTAACTTCCAGCAGTGCTGAATTTGGGCTTGCTGGGCTCACCCATTCAAGAGAGAAGGGACTGGACAGGATGGATCTTGTTTGTCAGCTCTTTTATTGCTTAATGGGGTGGTAATAGCAGAGAAAAGGAGGATATCAAGGTCTGCTTGGAGGTCAGTGAGGCTCTTCTCGTGCCTGAGGCAGAATCAAATATTGCTAAGTCATTTCTGGCAGGTTTTTGGCTCAGCTGTACTTAAAGATCTCCAGTGATAAGGCTTCACAGCTCATTGTGCAATCTATTCCAACACTTAAGTAGTCTTAGACACGAAGAAAAATCTTTGCAATAATTTTTGTTAGACCCAATGCAGCCCCAAAATCCTGTTGGTAAGTAGAACTCACGAGGGAGCTTTTATTCTCTTACTGAGGGGTGCTTTCAGAGTTACAACTTTGTCTTTAAGGATAGGTAATACTGTACAACCATAAATACATAAACAGAGGAAAAAAAATTATAGAAATTAGTTGAGTTGCCGTTGCTGAACTGAAATATTTTGACAGGTGCTTGTCAGGTTCTCTGCATTGGGTACGTTCCCATGAAACAGATGGGCTTCAATAAAACTATCTTTTGATGAAAATATGTTCTTTTATCAGCAGTAGGTGTGAAGAATAATTGTGATTATTTCACTTGCTCTGTTTTCTTTCAACCCAAAAATTCAAAGCTGGCAGAACAATTACGAGTGTGGAGTGTTTACATCTCTGCTCCGCTGGTTTCCTGCTGCAATGAGGTTAATGACTGTGGGCAGGTTCTGCTCTGCTCTTGTGCTGAGTTGGTTCTTCCTGTGAGTGCAGCTCTTTCTGCCTCTGTGGCCAAGCCCTGTGCACAGGTAAATACGCTGAGAGAGCCAGGACTGCCCTGTCAGGCTTCAGCAGAACACAAGAATCCAGAACTGAGCCTTGTTTTCTGCCCCAGCCCGTGTGGGTGGTGATGGTAAAATGCTGAACTTCTGAAGGTTTATAAGAAGGCTGGAGAGGGACTTTGGATAAGGTCATGGAGTGATAGGACAAAGGGGGAATGGCCTTAAACTGAAGGAGGGCAGGGTTAGATATTTGGAAGAAATCATTATAAGCATGGTGATGCCCTGGCACAGGTTGCCCAGAGAAGCTGTGGCTGCCCCTGGATCCCTGGAAGTGTCCAAGGCCAGGTTGGATTTGGGGTTGGAGCAGCCTGAGCTGTCCCTGCCCATGGCAGAGGGGTGGAACCAGATGAGCTTTAAGGTCCCTCCCAACCCAAACCAACCTGGGATTCTGATAAAGAAATTCACTTTTCCCCAAACCTGGGTGAACTGGGAATTGCTTATGCACTCAGGTGCCACTTGTGGTGGTGACTGGCTTTGGAGCTGGAAGGGAATCTGTGGATCCAGTGCTGTGCTCAACCAGCTCAGCTCCTTACCATTCCAAGGGGATGGGATTGAGTCCAAACTGAGGGTGGCCTTTAGAATAACTCTCTCTCCCATGTGCTCTTCAGTTGGGAGGGAAATTCCAGCTCTTTTGTGCAACCCATGTGTGCCTGAACCCAGGAATTCATGACCTTGAGGAAGCTTTTGTTCCACGGTGTGTGTGAAAATCTGCTCCACACATACAGCACAGCTGAGCTGTGTGTTCAGGGAAGGGCTGGGATAAAGGAAGTGTTGCATCTTCTTGTCCAGTTCCTCCATGATTTACAAAGTCTCCTCTAGTTTCACCTTCTTTTGGAAGTAACTTCATATTTTGTGATTTTCATGCCAGTTGATACAGGTCTCTTCATCATAGATCATCAAAAGAGTCTGAGGGAAAAACTGAGAAATGGAAAATCCTTAAGAATCCAAGTTTGATCAACTGAAATGGACCAAACCTTTCTCTTCTGGAAGAAATATCTCTTGGGTAGAGGAATACAAAAATAAGTGCCATATTTTAAAGAGAGTCAAACGCTTATAACACTGTCTTTAGTAACTTCAGTAGTTATTCTTATTTGCTTCGTTTGGATGCTTCCTCACATTCTTGGATCTTCACCTGTGCACAGAGCAGTAAATTGTGCCTCCCACCCCCCTCTTTCTCCAGAATCCCGCGCTGCTGAACGGCAAAGTGACGCTGCATCAGGTCACTGCTGGCACCGTGCTGTCGAGGCAGGGGGACCAGGTGAGTCAGCACCACCTGAACCTCCATCTGCCTGGGTTTCTGCCCCCCTCTGTGAGGTATTTATACACTTTGGTGGTGATAAATTAAAAATTCTCACC